TTTCGTTTGAAAGCCAGCCGTTGATTTTTACGTTTTTAGCTTTATTAATTTATCTCACTGAAGATGGTCAGATGACAGACCAACGTACGTACATACATATGTCAAATATTAATTTAATTAAAGATAACGACACAAACATTCTGTTGTGGCTCTAGTCAATGCCCTCTTTTTTTACTTATTACGTTTTTTTCTTTCGTCAAATTTGAGTAATTAGTAAATTAACATCTAAATTAAATTTCTTCGTCATAACAAATTTCCTTATTGCTATTGTTATAGCAAAAAGGTTCCGAAGAGATGTAAAGACCCGTTTCGTCGTGCGTTTAACTCCGACGCGGCCGTCGGAGTGCCATTACTGCCATTCGGCAAAAAGCGCAAGGCGCAGACACCACGTTGCACATTTTAAACGTCTAACCGCGCGGCCCGTACGAGCGCAGTTAACACGGCGATACCGTGTCATCATCGTGCATGAACACGGCGACGACGACGACGACGATGACGACGGCGACGGCGACAGCGGCGGTAGTGGGGAATATCGATCCATAACCTAGAAGGGTACCAGGCGACGTCGGGAAAGGTCGTCACCCCGATCGGGCCCGTAGGACCGGAGCTCGCGAATAGCGTGCGCCGGAGAAAAATCGATCCATTCTTTTTTTTTCGTAGAACAGCGGACGCACTTGTTGACACACACCGTCGAGAGGGGAAAACACTCACCGCTCTGCTCGCCCAGAAAGACGAGCTTGAACTTCCGCAACGGGTTACCGAAATCGCCCGAGGACGACATGTTTTACTTTCGACGCGCCTGAACGGATTCTCGGCAGGCCTAAAACCAGCGGTCTCGATGCCGACGTATGCTCGATAACGCGCTCAATGGCCGCCACAACGAGTCATTTAAAACGATCAGCTGCACCCGGCTGATTAGAGGTTCACCGCTAGCTCGCTCTCGGGCTATTCAGGGCCGACAGCTTGACAGCTCGCGACGCTCGCTTGAATGCCACTCCTTGCTGTGCGAGTCGGCCACGTTTAACTGGGAAGTGACGTCGTGCGACTGAAAAACGGAGTCGCGAGTCGCAGAACGGCCGTAGGCGGCGCCACTTGTTTCCGAGAGGAGAGAGAGAGGGCTCATTCTCTCTGCTGTCACCGGCTGCGTTCGAAAACGTCACCCGAGTGCATACGAATATACTCCCTTCTCTTTCTATCTCAGCGAGTTAGAAGGAGAAGGAAGTATACCCGTGTGTACCCGGGTGACGTTTCCGAACGCAGCCCGAGAGAAGCCTGCGAGAGAGGCTGCTCGGCACTGCGTGATGCCGCGACCGTTGAATGAGTCCGCCGATTTCGGAGCAGCGTGTACGTTCAAAGTCGGCGCGCGGACGATTGTTTCCATCAGCGAGATGGCCTTGCTACTTGTTTTCGTTGACGCTCGGAATACCGTTACCCGCGGATATGTTACTCAATCATTCTCCCGATGAATTTCGGACAGGTGTGAAGTGTTTGTGCTCCGTGCTTCGTGCCGTGGATGCTGTTATTCGGAATTCGCGCGCTCGTTTGTGCGATTGGCATTCCTGCTCCTCGTTCTGCGGGAATAATCGACGACGCGCACAAGAATTTGTATCAAGTGCAAGTGTCGTGAATGAATGTGTCGCGCGAATCGCTCGTTCGAGGCGGAGATGTCGAGGCGAAGGTACGGCAGTTGTGAGTGATTTGCAGTTTCTTCGTGATATTCCCGGGCGATAACCGTTCGTCCCGTCCGGGCCCGGGTCGCCATATGTCTGGACTCTGGACTATCGAATGTGCATGGCATTCATTTACGCGGCATATCTCGAATCGTGTCATGCTTTGAACGTTGAGGAGTGCAAAAGAGGCACCCTCCTTTTTCTTTCGCAAATGCACATGAAAATGCACTAAACAGTGAAAAAATCTTTCACCAATACGTTTACTTTGAAGAATCGAGGGGGCTTAGACTTTGAATGATTTTGAGCCCCTGCCCCCCCGAGAACCTCTTTTTTAGGAGCCTCAAAAGTAAAATATAAAGAACGCCCTTGATTACTCTTAAGAGGAATTTTGCCATAAAATGCGTTTTTCTATATTTCTTAGCGTAAGTGAAAAATCGAGGTACAAAAGATCTTTTTAGAACTTTGACTCCGCATAACTTTTGATAGGGGGGTTTAGCCACATCTGCGGTTTTCACCAAAAATTTTTTTTTTTACTAGACTTTTAAAATGAGCTTGATCCCTCTCCACTAAACATTTTTTACTTGCACTCCCGCCCCCTTATTGGCCAATAATTAAAGCTAGCGCCATGGCTGACGAACACACAGTCTGTACATACAGTTAATACTGGGAGCTTTCCAGCAAGCGACACAAGTCGACACAAGTATCGTTTTATCTTTGTTACTCATTACCAAAAAAGAAAGATAGAACGATGCTTGTGTCGACTTGTGTCGCTTGCTGGAAAGCTTCCACAGTCTACCACAGTTCTAGCACGAGTTAATAGCCGTACATATTTGAAGAAAACACAGTGGAAGTGTCATAACATTTTTTT